GTGGTGGTGGTGGTCGTGGTGATGGTGGTGGTGGGTGCTGGTGGTGGTGGTGGTGGTGGTGCTGGTGGTGGTGGTGGTGGTGGTGGTGCGGCGCGGTGGTGGCGGGCGGATGGGCGCGCGAGAAAGAGGCCCGCGCTCGGGCGAGAACGCCATCCTGAACGACGGAGGCCAAACACCGATCCGAAAATGAGGCCCACGTTGCAGCGGGAGCACGATTCGGAACGATTCAGGAGCAGAAATGAGGTTGGCGCCTCAGCGAGAGCAGCATTTTGACAAAAAACGCAAGCGAAAACCCGTTTCCCGGGAATCCTGTGTGTAAAAAACAGTACGCGGGGGGGTGTCAGATATCTTCGGGGCGCCATCAGGGGAAGTGGGAGAGTATTTTCATATTGTGTAATTGTTTGGGGGATGCCGGGGGATAGGGGGGGGGTCCAGCAGGGGGGGGATTTTCGGAGGGTGGGGGGGGACCCCCGGGTTCCGGAGGAAGAGGGGGGGAATCTTCCACAGTAAAGCGGCGGTGGATCACGCCTTTTCCATCACCACTTTGGAAGAGCAAGGACGAAGGGCCCTTCACGGACCTCCAGACTCTACACATCCTCAACAAGAAAGGTTTGGAAAATAACACAACAACTTCGACGAGATAGAGCACAAAACCATCCACAGCAACATTGAGAGATACAGCCCGAAGGCGTGCTTCGTAGCGATCACCGACATCTACGGCACGCTGCGCCCTACCTCAGATATTGGACTACTAACCGCACATGTAAGAGACATTGTGGAAACCCGCGCAAGAGGAACATTACATCCATACGCGGACAACTACATCCTTCTTGTCGGCCGCCACCACATTACTCCACAGACGATCGGTGGATTGCGCTGCGACGAGACCGACCTCAGAGGACAGCGCGTACCAGTATACCTATGCCACCAACGAGAACTCGCACTCCTATCAGCGTGGACACGCACCGAACGCCACCACCACCTACAAAGGAGATCGACCACGTGACGATCGTGAAACTGAGCTCACCGACCAGCGACTTCCCCAACTGGTCCGCCATCATCAACAACGCCCTCATCGAATATCCAGTTCAGATAGTACAGGAGATCGCCACGACCTCGGAGACATGCGCAGCAAGAGTCGACGGAGCCACCCACATCCACACGGCGGCCAACAAACGGGATTTCATCTTCCACCAGGTCGAGATTACCTCAGATGGAGATGCACAGCCCGGGATAAGACAGCAACTTGACTACGAACCACCAGAATGCAAGCGACCTGCCGACATCCTGCTGGGCGGCATTATGATGATAAAGGATAAAGGTCAACGACATCGACAATTTGCCTGAACAAGACGCACACAAATCAAGCCGATGCCTCATCTAGGACAAGGAAAACCACAGCTCACGCAATTTGCCTCAACGCCTTCAGAGACTACGCAACGCAGGCTTTCAGCCCACTAACTCGACCCAGAGCTACTTCCCCGACTGGAATACAGCCTTCCCAGAAGTCAGACCACAACAGGTACAGTGACCAGCGCGTGCGATCTCAGCAAATGCCGGCCCGCAGCTCATGCGAAGAAGATCAACGCCACAGGTCCAACAAGCCATCCTTTTATCCTATGCCGATTGTCTTCCAGTTCATATACAACCAGGGCGCGATTCCGACGCCGCGCCAGCCGCCACCGCGGACTGGGCCACCCCCAGGCAGAGCCAGTGCCAGAGTGCCTTGTCAAACGTGAGCAGGTCGACAAAGCTACTGCGCAAACCATTCGCGACCTACTCGACAAACTGACCAGGAACGAGAAGCACGCGAATGGGCTGGTCGAGCACATTCATGGTGCAGTGACATCGCAGGCGGCACCTTCTTCTCCCACCTGAGGGTCAACCAGGGCTCCAGGCCATTCCTCGCCTTCGGCAAGAACATGCTCGTGGTCGCGCCCATGCTAGAGGGGTGCCCGCGCCCTCCACGCGCAGGCCGCGTCGTCCATCGCGCCGAGCAGCTGCGCGGCCCCGAACCAATGCTCGCACCGTGCGACGACCGCAGCGCCTTCGAGCGCGAGATACGCATCGAGATATTACCGACTCGAGCCGGCCCCGCAGGGAGTGATGACGATCGAGAACGAAACCACATCGATGACCGCTGACAACAATGCAGCCCACTTATCGAACAACGAAACTCCTGCGAGTAGTGGCGACGCAGCCGCCGGTGCGACGCCAGCGACCGCGCCCCCACCTGCGACTCCCAGCCAAGAGCGCCAGCCAATCAACCAGAGCGGGCCCGTCTCAGCAGCGAAGCCAGTGAGATGCAAAGCACCACCTGCCCTACTGACGCTCGGGGAAGACACAGCAGAACAGCCTACTCACATGATTGGATACGAGGACAAGACCATGCAGCAGGAGCTCGATTCAGGGGGGCCACAGGTACCTACTACCGAACCTAGCAGCTCCAACCCGACTGCCAGCGACGGCGCGCCAGCAGCGTATGGTAACCAACCATCTGCCGTGGAAGTCGAACCGCAGAAGCCCACTGGATGGTTTCCCATCGCTACGATCACACGCGAGAAGGTCCATCCCGACACAACCACCTGCCCGATGGGAGCAGCCATGCGCCACTCGTTCCACGCCAAGCTGGCGGACTCCATCGCTCGCGGCGCCATCGTGGTGAACGAGGGCGACGAGGTCACAGTCCTCAGCATGTCCTACAACAGCAACAACGACCTCCGGGCACGGGGCACCATCACTGAGACTAACAACTTGCGGAACACCAGGTAAGCTTTGATTCCATATATCATCGCCGAGGACCGCTCCCAACGCGACGACATCCAGGAGAAGCTCGGCACCCTCGCCACGATGGTAGGGAAACAACCAACGCGTCAGTTACAACCTGCCAAGGAATCCACAAGGAGATCACCTCGGCCAAGGAATCCATGTCCAAGCTCATCGGCAGCCTCAACGAATCTATCAACGAACTACGCACTTAAACAGCGGCGATAGCCATCCTCGCCGTCGCCCGCGCGCGCCTGGACGGCCGAACGAGGTGCCCGCGCTCCCGACGTCGTCGCAGCCAAACGCCATGCCCTACCAAATTCCGACTTTCGCTCCAACCGACCTATCCCACTCACACCCTGACTCTTTCCACGACTCCCACACTGACCCTCTCCGGGCGAACCGGGTTCATGCCGCATGGGCGCCGCCGCGTTGAAGCTGCGCTCAGGGTCGGACCGACCTTGCGGCGGCTGACCGCGCCGCCCCGTCATCTCCGAACACGCCCTGATCCTCGTCTTCCCCATCTGCGGCAATGCGCGGACATAAGGCAACAATGCTTGGGGTGCGGCGACCGCCCCTGATTGCGCCGCGTACATCAATTTCGAGATCTGAACCCGCCGCCCTCTCCCAACCTTCACCGCCTCCCTGGTCCTCGTTGCCTCGTCCTGCTAAACTTCACCCCGCTCCTCTCGCGGTCGGGATGGGCGGGGATTTCACCGTCCTTGGGCGGGGGGGGGGCGCTGGGCCGTCGGAGGCATGGCGTTGGCCAAGATGCCGCGGCTCGACCAACAGATTGCGTGTGCCTCTTTACCCCCCCCTCGCCACGCGCCATTTCGCAGCCGCTTTATCGCGCGCTGCTAACCCCCTCCACCTCAGCATGATTTTGCCTTGATAGTCTTCACCTCCCCCTACTGGTCGGGCTGGGCGGATGGGATCATGTGGGCGGGGGGGGGGCGCTGAGCCGTCGGAGGCATGGCGTTGGCCATGCTGCCGCGGCTCGACAATCAGACTGCGTGCGCCTCCGCGCCGTTTCCTCCTTCTCCGCGCGCCATGGTCCTCGTTGTCCCTTGGCGCGCCTCCGCCGCCTGCGCGCAGTGCGCCGCCGCGAGGGGAGGGCCCAAACCTCCCTCGCGCCCGGTGTAAGCCCCGCTGGCGGCCCAAAGACCGACGCGGTGGGGACCCTACGCCTGCTTGCAAGCGAGGAATCCCGCCGTCGGCCTCTGGGGCGCCTGGTGGGGGTTCCAATGGGCCGAGGGAGAGGCCCTTGGGCCTTCCCTTGCTGTCGGCCATCCTGGCAAGGGCCAGGGCGTTCGCAGCCGCATCTAGTCACGAGAGGCATCGCATCACCAGTGCTTCCTCTTTTCACCTTTTCTGTTTCCCGTCTAACGCGCTGCCGTGTCCGCCTGCGCCTCTTCTTTTTACCTGTCCGCCTCCAGCCCAGCGCAGCCTTAGACATGATGCCTCGCCCCCAGCCTGATTTTGTCCTGCTAACCTTCGCCCGCTCCCCCTCTCGTGGCCGGGTTGGACGGATGATGGGATGATGTTGGCGGGGAGGGGGGGGGGGGCGCTGACCCGTCGGAGGCATGGCGTTGGCCATGCTGCCGCGGCTCGACAACAGACTGCGTGCACCTCCGCGCCCTTTCCTCGTTCACCGCGCGCCATGGTCCTCGTTGTTTGGCGCGCCTCCGCCGCCTGCGCGCAGTGCGCCGCCGCGAGGGGAGGGCCCAAACCTCCCTCGCGCCTGGTGGAAACCCCGCAGGCGGCCCAGAAACCGACGCGCTGGGGACCCGATGCCGCCGCGGATCGACAAACAGACTGCGTGTACCTCTTCGCCCATTCCTCTTTCTACGCGCCTTGATCATACCTCTCCTTTTCACCTGTTTTGTCTCCAGCCCACCGCGTTGCCATGTCTGCCAGCACCTCTTTTTTTCACCTGTTACGCCTCCAGTCCAGCGCAGCCTCAGACATTTTCAGAAGCGTCCTCCTGGTGCCATGCACCTGCCATCTGTGCTTTGCCGCATGCCTCCACCTTTTCCTCCCCCTTTCGGTCGATATTATGATGGATGTTTGTTGTTGGTCCCTGCCCTCCTCCCTCCTTCTTCATTTTGGGGTCGAGCCCCGCAATTTTGTCCCACCTCATTCGTCGCACTTTGCCTGCCACTTTGCTCTACCCGTCTTTCTCTTCTCGCCTTGTCCCTAATGAACCTCCCCTCCACCTCGGGCCCGCAGCCGAG